TAGAAAAAAAATGGCAAATTGCCGCAGGAAAAAATCTGCATCGTCAATAATGTATCGAAATACACATGATCGCCTAAGCATGTATCACGCATGGCACCTTACTGACTGACTGAGTCAGTGAGTGGAGAAGAATCTAAGACAGATATGAGGTTTGTCTATGCTTGTAATTCACATATTTAAGGCTAACGGGATCCACAGATGAGATTTTCTCATTTTGATTTCATTTACAAGGCATGAAATAAGAACAACTAATGCCGTTGTCACATTCTATTGATTTGTATATCGACTCCCAAATACAAATTTTTCTAGTTTCTCAAAAGTTTTCAAATATGTGTTTTTGTCGGCTGTGGTTGCAACGTCTACCAGAAGACAGGTGTTTTCAACAGGATATGTCACATTTACAAGGTAACCAAAAAAGTTCTGTCCGTTTTTTAATTAGTCATTGAATGAAGTTGAAATATATACGAAATGCGTGTAGCAATTGTTTTCAAATTTGGACAGCCGGAAGTAGGAACATCAGACGTTATAAAAAACACGCGCACCACGCCCGGCCATCAGTTATAAGCCGGACAGCTGTGAGAAGGATGGAAATATCTAGAGATCACATTCGGGGCTTTTTGCTTTACGACTTCAAAGTGGGCTTATCAGCAGCTGCATCAAGTCGCCGCATATGTCAAGCGTTTGGAGATAGTGCTGTGGATGAACGTACTGCAAGGCGTTGGTTTCGAAAATTCAAGTCGGGAGTTTTATCTCTCCATGATGAGCCTCGCAGTGGACGACCATAGGTCTTGAATGACGGAGTCCTGAAGGCGGCCTTTGAAGAGGACAGTAGTCTAACGTGTGGTGAACTTGCAAGACAGTTCAACGTTTCCGACTTCACCTGCACTTGCGAGACAGTTCAACGTTTCCGATGAAACAGTTAGACTTCACCTGCACCGTCTAGGTAAGACGTACAAATTGAGCAAGTGGGTTCCGCAAACGCTGTTCGAAGTCCACAATGGACAACGAGTGACAGCCTGCGTATCGCTGCTTTCTCGCCACCGTACCGCATCCTTATTCAATCGAGTGCTTACCAGTGATGAAAAGTGGGTTCTGTACAAAACTCCCAACCGTTCCAGACATTGGTTGTCTCCTAAGGATGCTGTCCCTCACACCGCAAGACCGCCTATGCATCCATGCAAGATTATGCTTTGTCTCTGGTGGACAGGTCGTCAAGTGGTTCATTATATACTTCTACCAACGAGCCAAACGGTCACTGGAGACCTATACTCGCAGCAATTGAAACGTGTGCAACAGGCATTGCGCCAGAAGGAGCCAGCACTGGTGAATCGCAAAGCAGTTCTTTTCCTCCATGACAACGCCAGGCCGCATGTCGCGCGAGTGGTCAGGGATACCATACAGCAACTTGGGTGTGAGACTTTGTGCCATCCACCTTATTCCTTATTCATCTGACCTTGCGCCATCCAATTACCGCTTCTTCCACTCCCTGGATAATCATCTTCGTGGGAAATCCTTCACCAATGAAGCAGACTTGCGCAAAGCCCTCACGAACTTCTTTGCGTGACCTCCCCTCCGATTTCTACACGTTAGCAGAAGGTGCTGGATGCCGATGGCGATTACTTCGAAGACTAAATATAAGTTACACATACTGTGAAGCGTTTTCTTTTTTTCCTTTAAAAACGGACAGAACTTTTTGGTTACCTTGTATATGTGTTCAATTTGTCTGGATTTCTCTGGATTTCCCTATCAGTCCGAACGCTGAAATTTTGGAGGATGGTAGAACTTCTGGTGGCTTATCTCACCAATTTTCATTGTAAGGGAGGCTGAATGCGCGGAATATTTACCAATGCGTCTACTGAGCAGCCCTATCATGTCGTTACAAATACTCTGTTCCTGCCAGTTGACTATTCCCAGATATGTGGTCAAATGTTCCCAGATTTTCTCCACATACATGCTAGGTGGATTTGATATTAAGTTTCAGAACATTACATTTGGTCATTCCGGTTTGAGAAACACTGATCTATTATATTATTATTTATTTATTTACTTTCGTTTCTGGTGTTTACTCCTTTCTTTCAGGGTCCCGACCAGAGACCTAAGGTCAGAAATGACATCATGATATTTTCCACTGAGCTGTTTTGAAAAAGAATCGCACATATTTTACAGAGATAAAGCCCTTCGTCAGGTGTGGGTTGTACCTGTGAATACAATTTAAAAAAAAAAAAATTAAGGTATGGGTTACCAGAAATTTCTTCATTGCGTTTATTGGAATCTTTTCCAATTAACCGAGGCCTCCAACTACCACTGGAATTGTTACTGTCATCATGTGCCACATTTTTGAGATTCCCGTTTCAAGATCCGTGTATTTTGATAGTCTTTTGAAGATCTTCAAAGATACATTGCAGTCTGCAAGGACTATCATGTCAATAAGGAGGTACATTTTGTCTTTGCGATCTCTAATCACGATGTCAGGTCGATTAGCGTTGATTATTCTCTCTGT